CACACTGCTATGAAAATAAAGTGTTTGTTACAACAGCTTCCCACAATGAGATAAATGATTAAAATAGTCAGGCAGTGTTTTGATTTTAAAGTATTCACACACATCCAACAACTAATATAAAAAAAAATCCTGAAAATTCAGCACCAACTCACACCTTTAGGTAATTAGAAATTGGCATTTAATTGCCATTTTAGTGGTAGAAATTCATGGAAACGAGCTAATTGTTTGGATTCTCTGATGCTTCAACTGTGGATTCCCTTGATCCCAATATTGAATGTGATTCTCCATAAATGTTACATTATTCTCCAGAGTTTCTAATCTAAATCTTTCTCCATTCACATGAAATACATCAGGCCTGCTATCATGACTTGCTGTATGAAGTCAAATATTAAATAAAAAGTAGCCTCTGTGGCTATTGTTAAAACATATGTGGGAAGCAGTTGAAATCAGAGTCCTATCTCTTTCAGTGTTTTTACTGTTAGATATACATTCACTTGATTTGTCTGCCCTTAAAGTGATTTATTAAATTTGAGTGACTGGTGAAGCTGAATCAGCCAACTGGGCTTCTGCTTAAGAAAAACAAAAGCAAACATAGACCCACTCTCAGTGATGAGCTTCAGAGGCCACCAGAGAACTAGGTACAAAAATTCTAATAGTGTGTATTGATTCAATAATGCTCATTTGATATTTTAATCATTGTGTTGAAATTCAATTGAAGTTGACCTTTTTATCAATTCTGAAACAAAGGACTTATTCCCTCCAAAGAGTGGCACAAATGAGAGTTTTCTTTTTGAACTTTTTAAATGATCTTGGTTGTGTTTGTACCTGGATGCTCACTGTCAGCATTCCCTGAAACTGTGTCATTTTTCTTGTTCCTGATCCTCAGTCTCACTGCCTTCTTGTTGTGGATTTTCCTTGTCATCATAAAATTTTAGACTTGGGAAGACCCTTAGAAATCATTTTGTCCATGAGGAACAAATTTGGAAAATAATTTGTCATGAATATACATACCTGTCTTATTTCTTCACTGGACTTGGACAGAAAAATTGTAATTTAACTTAATTAATGAGTCAATCAGGCCAAATATAAGCATGACTATTATGGTATCAGTTGTTTATCATTTTTATCAGGCTAGGTAATTGACTTAAAATTCTTTAAATATGCTCTACAGAAGAAAGTAGTATGACTGTTCTGACTATGAAAAATATGAAGTATGAAAGATATACTTTTGTATCTACCAATCAACCTTCAACCAGTGTAAGAACTTCAGCATTACTAATATAGTTGACTGTATCCTTCGCCCTCACCCAGAAATAGTTGTTGTGTGCATTTAGTTCTTTATGCCTGAATCCTTAAGTGATTAACATTCTGAATGTTTACTACTTTTATCCTTTTTATTTTTCTCAATATTTTGTTTGTAAGATACATAGGTCACACAATTTATACAAGTTTGTTGATTTATTTTATCTTATGGATCTATCCTAATTTAATCTATTTATTCTCCTCTTGATGGATATGTAGGTTATTCCCAATTTCCAGCTTCCTCAACTCCCTTTCAAGTATAAATACACTGGATAAATAAGATCATTGACGATAACAAATTGGAAAGGAAATGTTTGCCTACTTAAGAGAACATGATGTTTTAAGCAGTTTAGTACATACTTTTATATATGAAAAAAATGTAATTTAATATGCCTGGAAAATAGCGCTATTTAGGATAATATTTTATGGAAAATGTATACATAGATATCATTAATTTATTTTAAAACAGGACTTCTATGCAATACCTGGTCAGCTTAGTCCCAAATGTAGAATTTACTAGAAGTAAATTTTAATTTATTGTTTAATGCCTGTAATGTATACTTATGATTACTTTAGAGAGCCTCACACATATATTACCTATGCCATACACTGTCTCTGAATACTAATTTACTCTTTTGAATGAGCCAACATATGTGAGAAGAAAACTCAAATCTACCCTTTCAGCCATAATGCCTCTCCCAAGCACAGATCCCATGTGGCTCCCAGCATGAACTGAGTGAATGGATAGGTATTTGGATGATTGGGTGAAGGAACTAAATGAGATGTCATTGACTTCTAAAATTAATAGAGGCCTATTAAAAAACAAACATATAGGAATTAGCTACACATTACTATAGTTTTGTTATTATCTATTCATTTTGACCAAATATCTAGACCCATGTGCAGACTCTAACCAAACATTTTAAAAAATCTGTGCCATGAACATTAGCTCAGCAGAATATAATACATATTACGTACAACTTTGAAGAAATGGTTTTAGTCAAATAAATTTGGGAAACAGAGGCTTAAACAAACATAAATATATTGTTTTTCTACAGAACCTCTCAAGTACTTTACTATAGTAATATGCATTGTGATTTTCTAACATTTTTTGGACCGAAGGCTATTTTTTAACTTTTGTTTTGTTTTAATTAACAACATTTTCGAGGAATATATAAAGTACGGTCAGTTTGATGTACTTTTATAGGCACTGGTTTTAACAATGAAGAAGGAAATTTTGTTGATAAAATGCTCCCCAAATCATGTATCAATTAGACTATGACCCATTCATTATACATGCTCTTCAATAGATTCCTCAGTCTTATTGTTTCTGCAATGGTAGTATTATGAGTGCACTGCTTTGTTAACTCAGCAAGCCAAGAGTAGTAGTTAATGGGTTAGCACATCTGTCGCTGAAGGATTCCATTCTAAATTGGAATCTTAGCCCAACCCCAGATCCAATAGCTGAATTTCCTCACAGCAGGTGGAGTGATTGCTTTCACAAACTGCCTCTATTTACTCCCTCGTATGTGTACTATGAAATGTCTCTTTTAGAACCCAGGCGCACAGAGCTAAGATTAAGACTATTGTCTCACAGGGACTATTTGCAAATTGGGAGCTTAATGCAGTCCACAGATGGGACAGGCTTAAGGCTCTGCGCTGACTTCCTATGTCTCTGTTGTGGTGCAGAAATCAGCTGAGGTTGTTAGCTCTCCTTTAAGAACTCTTTCCCCCTCAACTCACTTAAATGGTACTTTCCATAAAATGCCATGGTCAGTTTGTTTTCCATGAAAGAGCTATAATAACCTATCCCACCAAATCCATCTTGACCTCCTTTCTTCTCATTCTAATGAAATTAGTTCTCATTTCTGCTGTTTGATCGTGTTAGGCATACATTAAAAGTATACAAAGAATCTACATTTGTTTCCTATGGTAAAATCAATCATCGATGTCATTATACATTTAGTTTAGGTGAAGTGTTCTTAATCAAATTCTCTTACTCTTGTCCCAAAGGAAAGGAATTTGCTATTTTTTAAAAAAAGAGCCTCTGACATAACCATATTTGTGTTATTTATGGAGGTAAGGGGGTCTCTTTTTATTTTCATGTTTCCCTGTTCAGGAAAGGTTAGAGCCATTTGTCAAAATAAAGCTTATGCTTTATTTTGACCTTCAGATCTTTTTTAAAAAAATCTTTTTTTTAAGGAAATTAGATTGATTTGAGGATTTTTCCCTGGAATATCCTACATTAGAATACTATCTATTTCTATGATATTAGGGGAATTAGTTTGCCATTTGAAGCCTATTTTTTTATGTAAAAGAGGTTAAATAATAATGCCTAACTCTACATAGTGGTTAGTTGGATTAAATAATATGTGTCAAGCTCTTAGCATAAAGCAATTGCTCCATAGTGGTAACCATTGTTACTACTTTTTAAATTTACTAACATGTCACTAATGGTTATTTCGGGAGGGAAGGGGAGGCAGTCTTTCTATTTGTTATTATTTTATGTTTTTATCACAATATTTCTCCATATAAAAGCCTAAGTGACCGTTCTGCTTTTTGACTGTTCAACTGCTTGACCAGTAGCTATGATGGGCACTGACCACCAGGGGGCAGACTCTCAATGCACAGGCATAGAAACATGGAACAGACTGATGAGTCTCAGAGGGATGATGGGGAAGGGAGAGTGGAAAGAGATTAACCAAAGATCTTATATTCATACTAGAGGTCCCTCAGCCTAGCCTGTGGGGATTGGGCAGAAACTGGCAGTCCAACATCCCTCGAGGGTCTCGGATTGCGAGAGGGCACAGGCCAAGCTGAGGGACCCTGCTAGCACACAAATCCATGCATCTGGCCTCTAGTATAACATATGCAATGTAAATGAACATAACACAGTATGTATTTAATTATATAAAGAGTATATGAAAAAACATATATATTTACATGATATATATTCCTATCTTTTGCTTCCTGTCTCTAAACAAGTTTTATTTCTGATAACATTGATTCACTTTCATTGGACTCAAATGAGATAAAGAAGGCAAATAGTGTTATCTCTTTGGCACAGAGGAAGAACATATGACTCTGAGAAATCCTCCAGTGGAATGCAGCTAGTCGATGACTTACTGACACTTGAACCCAAATTTCTAATTTGATGTTCATTGTTAATTCTCAAGACTAAAAGAAAAAAAAATACTAGTCTTACCTTTCTTGGAATAATATGGGAAAAAATCAACTAAGTATTACAAATAATGAAGAGATTCCTGAATTCAAGGATTATATTAGCATTTTCTCTACTTTTTCCCTTCTGGACTTTGATTTATGTCTAAAGTAAAAGCTCTCTTAGCCACTAGTACATGCCTAGTTTTTAACTGCTTCAGCTAGAGTGCAAGCACCTATATCTGGACGGGACATGTTGTTTATTCCCCCATGTTGTTATTAGCTTGTTCTGAGAGTGAGCATTGATTTTGGGGGTCTTTATAATAGTTCCAAAACTCCAGAGAAACCATGGGACCTTCCTAAATCTTAAATTACATAAGACTCTGAGGTCAATGAAAAGCTTTTTGGTACCTTTGGAGCAGAAAACAAGGTATCCTTAGTTTTAAATCATTAAGAAGATTCAAACATACTTTATGCTAATTTAACCATGGAAATATAAAAGCAATTACATTTCCTCGCCCTTTTCTTTCCTTCCACAGCTTAAAGGGAGCTGACGCTGGCAATGGGATCAGAGTGTTTGTACCTGATATTGGGATGTTCATCGCTAGTCTGACCATCTGGCTCATCTGCAGAAACATCGTTCAGAAACCAGTGACAGAAGAAGCAGCACAGTATAACCTGGAGTTTGAAAATGAAGAATCGGTAAATCTGACTTCATAAATCTTCCTTTGATTTCTGAGGGCCTTGACCCTTAATATGTGTGGAAGAGTAATAGTCACAGCTACATGTGCATAGTGCTAAATGCTTTACTGTGCTTGGCTTAAGTCTGTGTAGTCCCGATGGGTATGCATTCTCATCAACACCTTGTCTATGAGGAGACAAGCGTATGGAATGGAAGTGTCACCCTTTTTGAGGCATTCATCCCCTATGGCCAGGGCTTGACCCAGTGTCCTTTTTACTCCCCCAAACTCTTATCTAATATTAGCTCAGATGGTTAAGCTTTTACATTCATAGTATTATGGTCCATTGGTCTAGGTACCTTAGTTATCGCAAAATATTTAGAGAAGTAGGAACACCTGGTAGTTTTAGGAGAAAGACAATTAATTTCACCTGTAAGTGAAGCTTTTCGATCTGTGTACCTGTGCTCTTCAGTGAAATGTTATGTAAACTAAGAATGCTTTGGTCAAGTTATTTTAAAGTACTCCAGAGAAAAAAATATATGCATTTGGAAAAGTATAAGAATTTTTTAAAGGTAAAAAACAAACAACAAACTGAGTACCATGTATGGTAGCTTTGAGCTATGGTTTTTACTGAGAAGGGTTTTAGGATTTAGCTACTGAATCAGGGAACATGTCAAATTTCACTCCTTGGCGAATGATGCTTGTCAGGTAACTTCTTACACTGTCCCCCCACCCCGCACCCCCCCAACCAGTGTCTGCTCCTCATTTTGCTCTTCTCCAATTTGAGAGTCAGTAGAGTAGTTTTTAAAATGTCAAACCCAGGGTCCTCTTAGGATAATAGAAAGTGAAGTTGTATGGTATGAGTTGAGGCCAACCCACTCAAAAAATAATCCTTTTGTACCATTTGTACAAAAATGAATAACTTACAAAAGCTTCTTCTAGAAAGAACTTCTGTCTCCAGGGTCAGATGCTCTTTTGCCAGAGGACAGGGAAAACCTACATTGACCCACAGAGGATGGATTTTAGGTTACAGTTAAGTTCATGCATTTGGTGGAGAATGTTCTCAAAGCCATTACAAAGACCAATTCTAAAATCAAGTTTCTGTTCTAGTTACACCCAATTCTCAAAGAAAGACTTATGGTACCTCTCTTCCACTTGAAATTTGTTTAAGTATCTATGTGCCATTTATTATTAATCATATTATTTAATGATAAGAAGGGTGGCTAGTCTAAACATTACTTATTTGGGGCTTTGAAAACACTGTCATTATTATGAGGTTGATATCCTCTCAACCTCATAATTTTGGCCTAATTTAAAAATTAACCTGTATTTTCTTAACATATTTCAGCCTACCGGGTAGCCTGGGAGGAGCAGGCTGGGGTGTGAATCTTCTGAGATAAACACACAAGGAATTTTTTTTCTTGCATGTGAACAATCTGTCTTGAGTCTGAAAAGAATAGAAGAACACGGCCAAAATACGCAGGGGAATTTATTTTATTCTGACGGGCCCAACATACTTCCTGCTGCTTATGAATCTTGGCGTTTGTACTCTGGACTGTTTGGTTTTTGGAGGATCCTTTGACAGAAAAGTGTTTGCTGGCATTGCTTCTTCTTTCATTTATCTTAGTAGAGCAATGGCAAGATTAATCCACTGGTGCCTGGGAGAATTCCTTTTCAAATCCAGCATTGTTTTAAAGTAGCAATTAATCCCAGGAGAGGACTCTTAAATCTCCCCTAATCTTCAAGGACTTGATGATGATCTTAAATTTGCTGTTTCAAAGGGCACCACAAATCCAAGGACCCCCTGGAAAGCCGTGGGGGAGGTAGATACTGGCAGCAGGTGGGAGCCCGACTTGCTCTTGCAATGGACAGAGAGCAAACCTCAGTGAGGGAACCGGTTCCTCACTGCCATAGGAGGTTCTGTTTCATCGGACACCTCTGTGGTCTTGTTGTGTGTGTGTGTGTGTGTGTGTGTGTGTGTGTGTGTGTGTGTGTGTGTGGTTTTCATTTTAATGCATAAGCACATCTAAAAGTCAGAACTGGGATCAAGATCTCTATTCCTAAATCTTAAAAAAAAAAAAAAAAAAAGAGTTCGGTTATGAAAAGTTAATTGTGTAGAAGAGGGTTCCCTGTGCAATGAAAACATTATGTAATTTCACCAAACATATATTAATCTTGTTTATTTCTAAACTTCTAACTTTATCTAGCTCTTTAATGATATTTCAGCCTTCTTTATGAATCAAATGGTATCTTAATATAATGTTAAACTAAATGTATCAATGTCTATTTAAATAGGGATTTTAGTCATGACCTGGTCTGCTGAAAGAAGAATATTTTAAATAGTCTAACAAGTCAAAGATGAAGGACAAAAAGAATATTCCAGTATAGGCCATCTACCACCTGTTAAAACTTCAGGAATGCAACATTTAGGTCCTGCTAATATCATTTAGAAATTCATTCTGAATCTCAAAAACTGCACCAGCCTTCCTAATACCCATCGTTCATTAGGCAACTGTGGCACCTGCATTCTGCCACATCCGATGGCCAGCGGGGCAGTGCTTTGAAGTTTTAGCTTTGAGATTTAAGTTACTATTTTGTTCTAAAGAAACAAAGAATGGAAGAAATTGACCTTTTTCATTGTCTCCTAATTAGGCATTTGGCATTTGCTCAGCTCTCCCCTGAGATTTAGTCTACAGTCAACGGCTTTAAATTTTCTAGATCCCGTTGTTTTTTTTTTTCAACACAGACATAATCATCTGAAACATGGCACTGTTCAGAATGATAAGAAGCTGGACGGCTGCCCCGTTGCCCTGCCAACCTTGCACTCCATTACTTTTGCTGCTTCTCAGGATCATCCTCAGAAGCTGGGCAAGAATCACTGTCACATGTCCCCCAAAAGGCAGCACGCTTGGTCTGTCTTCTCTGGATTAAACCCATTCATAATCGAGGTATAGCTTTTAATTCTAGTGATTTTAGATGCCATTCATTTAAATAAAGGAACATTTTTAGTTGCAGGAAGTCATTGGCCCACCATCTTTGAGAAAGCTTCATTATTACAGTGTGAGTGTCACTAGGAGTGTTTATTGGAGGGACTATTTAGGCTTGGGTCCATGACCAGCTTTATAGCCCACAATATCTACATCGTCCTGGACACCAGGTGAGAGCATGGATTTCCACTCACCTGGGAGCTTATCAACCTGACAGCCAGTCAAAGGTAGCATGTCACACAGAAGGATAGGGATATTATTATTACTTTAAATTTTATTTTTAAATTACAGTTTACTTTCAACACTAGTTTTTATTAGTTTCAAGTGCGCAGCACAGTGGTGAGACAACCACATACCCTGCAGAGCGATCTCCCACCTGGCACAGACATAGTCAATACAGTATTACCAACTATCTTCTCTATGCTGTACGTAACATTCTCATGAATATTTTGTGACTCTCAGTTAGTACTTCTTAATCCCTTCACCTTTTTCACCTGATTCCTAACCCCTCATCCCTCTAGCAACCATTAATCCGTTCTCTGTATCTATGAGTCCTTTTCTATTTTGCTTATTCATTTATTTTATTCTTTAAAGTGAAGTCACATAGTATTTGTTTTTCTTTGTCTGACTTATTTCACATAGCATAGGACCCTCTAGATTTATCCATGATATCAAAATGGTATGCTTTCATTCTTTTATGGCCAAGTAATGTTTCTTTGCATATATGTACCATCACTTTTTTATCCACTTGTCTATTGACGGACACTTGGGCTGTTTCCATATCTTGGTTATCTATGATAAGAAAAGATGCTAATTAGACCAGACATCCTCCCAGATGTCCTTTGGGATGACCTTCCAGATGAAGCCAGGGCTTCGAGGGAAGCCCAGGTCCCAGGTGCCAGAGAGAAGTTGGTGCAGGGAGCTGGGTAAAGAAAGGCGTACTCTTGCATGAATTTCATGCACTGGGCCTCTAGTTGTAAATAATGCTGCAATGAACACATGGGTGCATATATTCTTTCAAATTAGTGTTTTGGGTTTCTTTGGATATATACACAGTAGTGAAATTGTGGAGTATAATGCAATTACATTTCTTTTTTTATTGTTTGAGGAACCTCCATAATGTTTTCCACAGTGGCTGCACCAATCTGCATTTCCACCAACAGTGCACAAGGGTTCCCTTTTCTCCACATCCTCACCAGCACTTGTTGTTTGTTGATTTATCCTAGAAGAAAACATAGGCAATAAAATCTCAGATATTTCTCGTAGCAATATTTTTTCTCATATATCACCACAGGCAAGGGAAACAAAAGAAAAAAATAAACAAATGTCACTACACCAAACTAAAAACTTTTTTGCGCAGCAAAAGAAACCATCAACAAAATGAAAAGACAGTTCACTGAGTGAGAGAGCAGATTTGCCAATGGTACATCTGATAAAAGGTTAATATCCAATATTTATAAAGAACTCATATAATCCAACACCAAAAACAAGAACAGCAACAAAAAACACACCCAAACAACCCAATTAAAAAATGGGCAAAGAACCTGAATAGACACTTCTCCAAAGAGGACATACAGATGGCCAGTAGACATATGAAAAAATGCTCAAGGTCACTCATATCAGAGAAATGCAAACTAACATCACAATGAGATATCACCCCATACCTGTCAGAATGGCTATCATTAATAAACTGACCTGGAAGTTTGTAAAGGTTCTGAGGGCCCATCCTAAACCTAATAACTCAGCATCTCTGGGAGGTAGGAAAAGGTGTGAGGTGGTAGTAGGACAATTTCTTTGAAAGCTCCCTAGATCCTGTCCTCCTGGCAAACCTAACTAGTTACTGTCTGCTAACTCAGCTTGCCTTTACCTGTCCTTCCTCAAACTTCCATTACTCCATAGAAGGTGGTGGAAAGCATACATCTGCATACTCACTTTTCCAAATGAAGCAGGGGACTATTTAGACAGCTCTTTAAAGTTTGGATAAAGAATTTTTCCTAAAACAAGTGTAGCAACAGAATAAAATATTTGCTTTATC